TGGAAGTATTATATTTCTCCATCAATTTTGAAAGATGATTTTCAGGGTACAACAGTTTAGGTTGGAGGTTGTTTTCTTGTAAGGCTTGAAATAATTCCCACCTAGCTCTCCTTGACTTAAGGATTTGGGTTGAGAAGTCTGCTGTGATTCTGATGGATTTTCCTTTAGAGGTGATTTTTGTTTGTTTGTTTGTTTTCTCAAACAGCTTTTAATATTTTGTTCTTGTGTTGAATTTCTAGAATCTTGACTATTATATGCCTTGGTGTAGTTGTTTTCTGATCATGGCTTATTGGGGTTCTATATGCCTCAATTATATATAAGTTAAATTATTTTACCATGCTATTACTTCTGAACAGGCTTTTATATCTTTTGTGCTTTCTTCTGATTTTTCACTGATTTCAACTAATCTTATTTTATCCTTTTTTTGCATGATCTTGCAGTGGTTGGATTGATTTTTCATGGTCCCTTGCTATTTTTAAGAAATCTTTCATTTGGTGGCCTCTGACTGCAAACCTGTCTTCTAAGTCTGACATTCTGTCTTTGCATTGGTTGATTCTGCTGCATATATTTTCAATAGAATTTTTAATCACCTGGAAATTTGCTTGTATCTGTTTCATAGAATCTAGTTCTTTCCTATGTTGATCATTCATGGTTTCCAACACTTTTCTAAACTCTATTTTTTAAAATCTATATCTACTCTAGGTTCACTAACCATGTCCTTCATTATGGCATTATCTTTTAGTAAACTGTGTTATTTTTTTTTTTCTACAGCTCATTCATCTGCTTTACTGCTTCTGTGGCTACTGTTTCAGAGAGTTCAGCTGTGTGGCTTTTGATTTCTTCCACCTCAATGCTCCCTGGATTTGCCTTGGGAGAGCATAGGGAGATCCAGGATTGCATCTTGATTCTGTGTTTTCTCATTTTCTACTGTTTTATTTGTTTTCTTCATTGATGTTTGTAAATTGCTTATGGTAAGTAGTTTTGTTACTAGTACTAAAACCTCTTTAGGACATGATTACTTTTCAGAGGTTTCTGCTATGCATAACTGACTTCTGACTTGTGAGTCTTCCCAAGATCTTGCCTCTTTCACATGTTAGGGAGTAAAGGTTGATATTTGTTTGGCCTAGCACCCCATTCTTTGGTACTGGACTATGGTGTTATTTGTGACCTCCAGATAATCTCAGTATTGACTTACAAAGAACAGTTGATCACAAGAACTATGTCACCTTTGCTAAAGTAATACAACCTGTAATAACAATAGCATCAAACACAGTCCAGAAAAATGACAGACTGTGATAACTATTAATTTGCCACCTTTAACTATAGGTACAAACTTTATATTTATATAACAAAATCTAAAACCAATCAGAAAATTATGTACAGTAAAAATCTACTTAATAGAGCAACTTTATCCTCAAGGGAGAGAGTGTAAAGGGGACAAGGGGAAAATAGAGAAATAAAAGAAGAGAAAGAGATTAAAAGCAAGGCTGAAAGGCAAAGGAAGAATACACAAGCTTTGGGAAAGAAAAAGGAAGAAAGAAAACAAAAACAAGAGGAAAGTAAACAAGCTCCAAAAGAAGAAACAAAAATAGATAATCAAGGGCCAGGGATATCGCTCCTCAGCACAGTGCCTACCTAGCAAGTGTGAGGTCCTGAGTTTGATCCCTAGTGAAAAAAAAAATCTAGAAAAACAATTTTTTTTAAATCCCTAAAACAACCAAAAAAAGAAAAACATACAAAAAGAGATTTCTCTATGACTTCAAGCCTGTGATTTTCTTCTGGTGTTCATATTTTTGTGGTAGTGTTCAAGTCAGAGCCCAAGCCTGTGTTGGGAGTAATCCCAGTAGGTCTGCAGTAGGGTTAGTGTGCGTCCTAGCTGATCCCTAAGCCTGCAGCAGAGTTGGAGCAGTGCCAATTCTGATGCTTTCAAATCAGCAGAAGTTCAGGTGATCCTGGCCCTCAGCTGTGGGGCCAGGGCCTGAGTCTTCACCCAGCACCACTTGGTGTCCCTTGCCAGCCCCCACAGCTCTCCCTCACTGTGGGATTTCAACACTGGGCACCCTAATAGGAAGCAATCCCATGGCTGCTCTGAGTATAAAGTTCATTGGCTCCTTCCTAAAAAAGGTGACAACCAAGCACCCTCTCCAGGGAGCACAGCTGTTGCCTGGACTGGAGTTATTCACTGGTCCTTGCAGCATACAGCATGGTTCTGCTCCGTGAGCTTCCCCCCACAGGCCTCTGGTCTCACTGTCCTCACTGCGCCCCTGTAGATTTGATTCTCCTCTCTCACAGTGAGAGTGCAGCTTGCCCCCTCTTTCTGCACTGCAGTCTGTCTCCTTACTTACTCTGTAGCATCCAGTTTTCCCTTCAGATCTTTCCAGGATTCCTGGGATCCACCTCTCTCCTTCCTCTCTTCCCCAAGTTGTTATTTTCCAGGGTCTGGATTCTTAATCTTTGAGGGGTTCATTGGTTGCTGTTTACTACTCTGCCATCTCCTGGGAGTTCTATAAAATTGAGTATTAAACTGAATGTTGTGTGCATGCCCATAATTCCAGCTACTCAGGAGGATGAGGCACGAGGATTGAGGTTTGTGAGTTCAAGGCCAGCGTCGGCTGTACAGCAAGACAGTGTCTCAAAAAAGTTGAGTTCTCGGAGGAAGCTCAACGTTATGCAAACACAACAAGCCTTTTCTCAAAACCCTATTCTCAAATGTCTTCTGCTCAAAATAATTTTGTGCTATTGTGGTCTTATCGGACCCTTAACTCCAAAGTAATACTAAGGATTCTCAAGGTGATTATTTAGTTCCATTAATTCAGCCAACAAGTACTGGTTTCAAGTCCAGTCCACCCTGGGGTTCCTGGCTGGTGTGGGGGTCACAGTGATGGAAACAGTGTTCTCCATTCCCGGGCCAAACCACTGCAGGAACATGGATGCATGTGTGGTGACTGTGACTGCTTCTGAGAAGACCCTTAACACTTTCCTTTCTGGTAGGTCCCCAGGCATAGCTGCTTACACACCCAGGCTGGGCTTCTGACCAGGGTCCTTGACCAATAAGTGCATCATGGCAGCAATCCAGCATCTACACCTCAGCACCTCTTTGAGTTCACCTCTCTTGTGCCAGGAACAAGTTGGGGGAACATTTCTGGTTTTCAGTCATAGTCACTGCAGAAAAAGGGAAACTGCATGTTAGGGGATATCTTGAGCTGCTGAGTCTTCACAGTGTGTTCTTTGCACATAACATCAAGCACTTTAAGAGTTAGTTTAAAGTAGAACAAAATGCACTCTTTTTTTCTAAATTAGGACATTCTTTGAGATAAAGACATGGAAATTGATTGGAATTTTGTTATAGAGTCCTCGTGGGCACCGATCAGGTGGTGATCTTTGGGCAGAACTCACCAGAGAGCCTTCAGATGTGTTCAGTCTACCCCACAAGAGCATTGTCTCCGAAGAACCTAGGAGACTACACGGCCAGACCGATGTATCTTGGGGGGAAAGGACAGCACACACTGACCCACGATGGGAAAAGTGAGCCATCCTTCTTCATGTCACAACTGTTGGAGAAATTAGCCCTGCCTTCCCTTATCCCTTAAGCATTTGGAGAGTGTTCCAATGTCAGGCTCTGTAATGGGTTAAAGGCGGGCAGAGCAGAAACCACTTCCCTTGACCTGGGAGTTCTTCCTTCTGGGGAGCTGATCTAGGCAGGGGGAGTCACAGGAAGTGGACTCATTGGAGGTGGCAGGTGGCATGAGTGGGCCACTGGTGGGTTGGATTTGAGGATCCAGGAAGCCAGAGAGAGGGTGGCAGGATGCTCTTAAGAGCTGCTTTGGATGGATAACCAATCGCCTCCTTGTGTCTCCAACTTTGTGAGGCAAGAGGTTGAGTGTGGACGAGCAATGTCCAGGTGTGTATAAAGCTCCATGTGCTTCTGGATTTGGGATATAAATTGAGATTACCAAGTCTGTTTTCATCAGCCTTCATGGCTTGGAGAATGCTGGAAATCCAGCCAGGTGCTGTTCTCACTAAGGCTGAGCTCTGTTCTGTGACGTGAGACCCACTGTCACTACAGTACACCTCGTGTCAAGTTGCAGGGTCTGCGCTGGGGGCAGTGTGGACTCCTGTGCCCCGGAAAGTGGGTGGGGCGGACTGGAAAGTTTTCCCAGGAGGACAGCCCAAGTAGTGAGGAGCTGCTGAACCAACTTAGGAGCCAGCATTAGAAAGCGGAAATGTGTTTCCTTAGGGTCAATGACAAATAAAAGTGGAGGGAAAGCCAATCACAGAGGAAACAAAGGAGACCATGGGAGATAAGAGCAAAGCCAGAGTCCTGGCAGCCTCAGTGTCTAAAACCCACTCCCAGCCTGGGAGAGCGAGGGCGAGGGGAGGGGAAGGGGAAGGGAACACTCAGGACAGGAAAAGTGCCTGCCTCTCCCCCTCCTCCCTGCCGCAGTCCGATCGGTCCTTGCTCAGGAGCTCTCCTACTGTCGCCCCAGGATATCCATCTGCTCCAGTGTGGCCAGAGCGGCCCTTCAGCTGTCGCCTTCAGCCTCGTAAGAAGGGCGTCAAATCCTGCTGTCCACGTAAACTGTGTCCCACCATGCCTCTGCACTTTCACAGTGTCAATGTGCAAGATGAATTTGTCCAATAGAATATGCACTTCCTGTGGGAAATCTAGCAGACACCGAAAATGCAATTTAACTAGAAGGAAATCAAAATGTGCTGTCATCTCACCACCTGGAAACCTGGCCCAGAAACCCTTGCTGGCTTGGGGCTCAGGCTGGGCGTCCAAGCTCCCGAGTGCTCACATGAGCTCGTCTTGCCTCAGACCCACTGGCCCTTCAGGCTGGCATCAGGACCCCTGGGCGCCCCGGGCCACCCCACTTCCTTGCCCTCAGGCAGCTCCTCAGTACCTGTCCATCTCTCCACCCAGCCCTCACACTCCGGATGTTCCCTGGGCTCACGGTGGCCCTCGCTCTAGCCCCAGCTGTGTCTCCTCTGTTACCCCGATGGGTCTCACCCTGCACGTGACCTGCTGTGCACTGGTGAGTGTGACAGCCAGGTCATCTCAAAGCCTCCCTTCCCTGCAAGGGCAGACTTGGAGCCTGGTGGCGCTGCTCCCTGTCCCATCTTGTCCCCTTGCCATCAGACTGGCCAGGCTCCGAACTGGTTCTCCACTCTGCTTCTTCCCCTCCCAGTGCCTCCCAACACTGCAGACCTGGCAATGGGACTCGGCACCCAGCCCGGTAGGTCCAGACCCACCACGAGGCTCTGTGGGTTGGAGGCTGTGATGCACGTTGGTGACCTGAGTGTGTCCTGCTCCTAATCTGAACCCAACTTCCTAGCACCTCTGAGTCCGTCCCTCTTCTGAACTCCTAGTTGTCTTTTCTCAGAATGCCTTCTAGGGAGCTTCATAATTTTTCACCTCCCTTTCACAATTTCTATGCTATATTAGAGAAGTAGTTTTGTCCTCTGTTGCTACGATCTGGTTGTGCTATTACAATTACTGACTCACAGCCATCTTCCTGCACAGACCACTCAACTCCAGGGCAGAGTCGTGGCTTCTTTGTGTCCAACAACAGTTTTATTAGGATATAATTAATATGCAATAGATTATGCTGTGCATTTCAGTGGGTTCTAGTATCTTTGCAGAGTTGTGCAACAGTCACTACAGTAAATTTGTGAATATTTTTATCACTTTCCCCCCAAAACAGTGTACCTTTTCACGATCCCCCTGCACCCTTCCCCTCCTGGGCCAGGTGACCCTGTTCTCTCCACCACCCCTGCGGCTTTGCCCCTCGTGGATGGACACTCCGCACAGCTGGACCACACAGTGTGCGGCTCCTGTGGCTGCTTCTTTTACTTAGCACCACATTTTCACATGGCCCAGCCCTCTACTCCCTTCTGCGGAAATGCTGACCCACAGGGTGAGGGTGCCACACCTTGCTTGCCCATCCCCCAGTGAGCCCATCCACCGGTGGACTTTGGGCTCGTGCCTACACTTTGGCCGGCGCTGTCCTGCATGTTTGTGTGTGGGTTTAGTGTGAACGAGAGCTCCCTTCTCTTGGGGATGCACAGGGAGGGTTGCTGGTCACTCAGCAGCTAGGGTCTCTCCAACGTGCTGCATCGGGCCACATTCTCAGCAGCTGGTCCCCTGTACATGTGGGTTTTTAACCAGTAATGGGGTGCAAATATTTTAAAAATCTGTGCTGGTACTGTACAGGTACAGACTCTTTACTTCTCCTTACTTCCTAAACAGTACAGAAGTATAACTATTTCCACCGAATGTATACTGTGTGAAGTGGTGTAGGTAATCCTGGGGGTTCGGGTGAGGAGGAGCAAGGCCTGGGTATGTAGAAATACTGAGCCACTTGGTAGAAGGGCCCCGGGCATCTGCAGATGTTGCCTCCACCCAGGGCTTCCTGGAACCGACTTTCCCACAGTGACTGAGGACTAGTGTAGCTAGTTTCTCCACACTCCACGAGTGGAGAAATAATAGACAAAGAAGTTTTCAAAGGCTGATTTTCTAGTTTAGTAATCCCAGAAAAGTACTTCCTTCTAACATTCGAATTAACTATGAGTTCCACTAGAAAAGAGGCCCTGTTGGATTTGGAAGACACGTAAAGAACAAACTGAGAAGATTAAGTGGTTTTCAGATGGAAATGTAGAACCTGGGAAATTATTTCTAGTACAGTTTCTAGACCAAGAGGGACCTCCTAGGAAATGCAGATATGTATGGTTCTGCATCAGCCTTGTTAAGTAGACACAAAGTACAGACTCTTACATGTGAAGCGAGGTTCACACAAACAAAAATAATTGGAGTGGGGCCCACTAACTACAGGGAAAATTCAAACATCTACAGAAAGAAGCAACAGAGAGGAGGCGGCAGTGGCTGGCAGGGCCTCCTGGAGGGAGCGCCGGGTGTGTCTTGGACCTGTGCTGGAATATCGGCCCCTATGCCCGAAGGCGTGTAGAGGCTTGGGGGAGGCCAGGGACTTACAGACCGTTAGGAAGATTTAACTCAACAGCACAGACAGAGAACCACAGTCTCTACAGTCCTTGTTTGACTTTCTGCCCATCCACGATCCCGCTGACGGTTTACCATGTGTGCCCTGTGTAAAGATCAAGCCAGGATAATTAGAATGCCCGTCGTCTCACGCGTGGGCCTCGCTTTGAGGGACAGCATCTATTATCCATGCCAGCTGTTCACAGCGTACCATGTGGCCTGTGCCTCCCCGGTGACCAGCGCCCTGTCAAGCAATGGAAAGCACCAGAGCGTTTCCTGTGATGCAGCTGTGACCTTGGCCCTTGGTCGGTCTCTCCCCGTCCACCCTCCCCTCACCCCGTGCAGTTAGTGGCCAGCGCTCCAGTGGAAATGTCCCTGTGCCATGCGGGCTTGCGTCGGAATGGGGGCAGGGTGAGCACAGCTGCAGAGAAAAAGGCGATCAGGGCTCATGAAACAGCCGGAGGATCCAGCTGAGCCAGCCCGGGAGGACAGAGGGCACGGTGCAGACTGGAGAACGGCGAAGAAGTCACGGGGGGCTTTGGGGCCGAGAGGTGGGATGGCCCAGACTCTGGGTAGCTCAAGGGTGGTGGGAGGTGGGACTTGCCTGCCAGGAAGCATCCTGACAAAATGAAATTTTACAGAGAACCTGGTTTCTTCTTGAGAAGAAAAAAAAAAAAATGTCTGAATCTTTCCCATGTCTCCTTTTGGGGTTTCTTTACAGCCCTCACTGTTTTCTTGGGGTCCAGCTGCTCGTGCTTCTTGCCAAGGCTGCACCAGTGGTTTTACCACTTCAGCCCTGCCCCATGGACGGTCTGTCCCTTCCCTGGGTCTTGTACACAGAACTCCTAGGTTGACCTACGTGCTTGCAGATGCAGTGACAAAGGGCTGGCCCAGAGGCTGGCTCACCTGTGAAACCCTCTCTGACCCAGGCCGCTCTGGCGGGAGGCACCACCACGATCATCGACTTTGCCATCCCTCCGAAGGGCGGCTCCCTGCTGGACGCCTTCCACACCTGGAGACGCTGGGCTGACCCCAAAGTCTGCTGCGACTACAGCCTGCACGTGGCCGTGACGTGGTGGAGCGAGCAGGTGTGTCCCACTGAGTCCCCTGTCCTTGCTCTGGACAGGAGCATTAAACCAGCGACAGGTGTCAAGGGCAGGCAGCGAGTGGAGCTGCTGGCTTCCAGGTGACCCAAGAACCGCATGCTCTGTGGGCCTCGTAACCGTTCACATGAGAGGAAACCTCCCTCATGCCCACTGGTGACTTGGGCCCAGCAGAAATGGCGACAGGATTCAGACAGAAAAGACAATTTTGAGAGCTGCTGAGATAGGTTGTTTCTCCCCATAGTAAAGGGTGTGTGTTTGGGGGGACTCTTCTCCTTGGGATTTAAGTTACGACTTGTTTTTTCCATCCTGGACTCCATTCAGAAATCTGTGGTGAACACGATTTGCATAACTTATGTCCCCACTTCCCGTTGAGAATCTGGCTTTCGACTCCAAGTTAATATAAAACAGTAATCAGTCTTTAACAGTTCAGCCAACACGACAGTGAGGTTTATAGTCCACAGTTAAAGTTGACTTTTCTCAAACAAAACACAAAAACAAACATTGCCCTTCCAAGCCATGCCTCGGTCTGTTCTATGCCCCTAAGGCCAGTCCCTCCCTCCTCTCTCCCTGTTCTCCCTTCCTTCTTTTTGTCTTTCCTTCCTCCTTTCCTCCTCTACTGTAGGAGATGGAGCAGCACCCCTCACTCTAAGTCTGGTGGCTGGGGCTTAACCACGAGCTTCTGTGCCGTGTGGAGGCCCCGCCCCCAGGACATGGCTGGCGGCTGCCTGGTGAAGCCCAGGGTTCATGGAGCTGTGAGCGGGGCTTCCCCAAGGCTCCTCCTGGCCCCTCCTCTCCTCCTGTGGTCGTCGGGCGCAGGGCTGCTTGTCTCTGCCTCCATATTCCATGCTGTCCCCGGTGTGGGCCTCTGCGTCGGGGTCCTTTCTTTAAAGTCACCGGCCACGTGGGGTTAGGTCCACACTAATGACTTCACCTTATCTAAGGACACCTGCGGTACTCCGTTTCCAGCTGGGGGGTGGGACCCCCTCACCAGAAGGCCCTCTGCACGCGGTCCCCCACACGGCCGTGGGCAGGGGTTCAGGGCCAGCCTGGGGATAGAGCAGGACTGCTGGACGGTGTGGGACTGGACCCTTCACTAGGGCACCTCAGCAAGGGTGCTGTGCCCCGAGAGTGGCCGTCAGGTGACCCCGCCAACCACGTGCAGAGCACCTCCTTATTACTCATTAATTACAATTATATATTCATTGCAGAAAAGTTGAAAGTGTAGAGGAAAAAGAGGCACACCCCAGCAGTTCCGCCCCTTCCTGTCACGCTACAGACCATGGGCTCCTTCCATCTCCCGTCCACCTCAGCATTCCATCGTTTTTTCCATTCATTTTCTGTATTAATTTATTACTGAGCTCAACCATGGTTATTGAGTGGCCACTGTGCCCCAGGCGCTGTCCTAGGATGTGGCAGAGGACTCACGGCTCACAGCCCCTCCTCTCGTGGGTCTGGACTCCGGGGGAAAGACAGGCGGCCCACAGTGGGTACAGCACCCCAAGAAAGGCAGGGAAGATGGGCAGTGTGATAAGCCACAATGGCAGCGGGCACTACGTGTTTCACACTTTGCTTATTCGATAGAAGAAGCTTGTATTGCTTTATTTTGCACTTTTCAGTGATGACTGTTCCATCTGGGCTGTTAAGGTTCCCTATTAAGTTGAAAGAGCTTTAGCCACTGAAGAGCAATACTCCAATGTTTGCTGTATTTTGTACTTGTGTGTGAATCTGTAGAAGTTCAGCTTTATTTGCTCAAACCTACTGATTTTTCCTTTGAGTGCATGCTGAGACTTGGATCTGGTCTGCACAGGCGGGCACTGGCTCCTTCTGACCTTCCCTTGCCCATTGGCCTGGGCAGATCAGGGGCCTCAGCTTCTGCCCCATGCAGTGCCCTGGCTCTGCAGCTACCTGTCCCTGCCTGGCTCTGCTGCTGTGTGCTGAGGTCCTGCTTCCTCTGCCCAGCCTGCTGTCTACACCTTGGCCACACCTGCTTTCTCTCCCTGAGGACCCACCTTGCAGCTTTGAGACCTGAGCCCAAACCCTCCTCTCCGTAGCCTGGATTCCTTCTAAATCCACGATGGCTTCTACCACAGCCGCAATGCATTATCTTTGCTTTCTGATGGGAGATAGAGGCAAAAAATTTAGACCCAATAATAGAAGTACTTTGAGGAAAGAAAGCTGTTACGTCTTTTCTGAATTAAACTATGACAGCAGCAGCCATTTATCAGATGAAATAGGGCATGACCTGGGAGAAAGACCAAGCGAGGGCTTCACTGCGTCTCTGGGAGCTAAACTGTTGTTCTTATTTTGTGTATTTGTTTTACAAATGTGACTTTCTGGAGAATGCTAACATTATCATTGAAGCAAAAGAATGATATGTTGTGGGTGTTGCCAATTAGGTCAAAGAAGAAATGGCAATCCTCACCCGGGAGAAAGGTGTTAACTCCTTCAAGATGTTTATGGCCTACAAGGACACGTTCATGGTGCGAGATCCAGAGCTGTATGCTGCCTTCAAACAGTGCAAGGAGATTGGAGCCATTGCCCAGGTCCACGCGGAAAACGGAGACCTAATTGCAGAGGTAGGTGCCTGCACGCCAGCCCTGGGCAGAGTGAAAGTGGGCTACAGAGACCCTCGGCCCTGAAGGCTAGTGACTCATCAGGAGAGCGGGACTCCAGAGACGGTTTGCCGAGGCTCCTAAATCCGACACTCAGACCGGAGCCGTCTTGGTTTCAGCTGTTCATGCCAGCAGGAGGCTTTCTCTGCTGCAGAGCAGCTGCCAGGACTAGGCCTCGGGCAGGTCTAGTGAAAACACATGGTTTCCTTCATGTCCTTCAGGCCGGTTTTGCGGTTTGTTTCTTCAGCTGCGGGCTGCTGGTTCCGATGCTAAACTGGGCGCATCTGTAATCTGAGGCTGAGGCAGTGTGTTAGATGACTGTGTAAAGCCCTGCTCTCTTCAGAAGCTGGGTCACGAAATGTGCCCTGAAGGAGTCTGGACGGTATGCATTTCTTACACCAGCTCCGCTATCGGTGCTCAAGCACTCACGGTCTGCAGGCTGAGAGCAGTCTCCCAGCCTCTGTAGGAGCTGACTTTCTCCCCGGCTCAGCTGCCATTAAAGTAAGTGAGACGCAGGCCCCACGGCCAGGCGGGCCCTGGGATTTACGAGAGGAGAGCAGGAGCTCACAATCCAGCAGGCCGGGTTTACATGGGACTTCTTGCTTCCGACCGCGGAAAAGTCATTAGCTGCTCTTCTGAACTCTGCCTTGTTTGTAAGGCTGAGGTATGATCGGGACGAGGCAAATCACTGATGCTCCGACAAGGACCTCTAGGGTCTGGTTCTATTTTGTTGGTCTGAACCAATATTCAGTGTTAAACATGGACCTTGCTCTTCAAAGTATTCGATCAGATCTTGTTCACCCTTTCAGTTAACACAGTTTGATGATGAAATGTGCAGAGAGAATGAAGATATGCGCTGGGAATATCGGTGTCACGCCACACACACCGCGCGTGTGCGCCTGTGCCCAGTGCCCCGAGTCTCCGGCGCCTTTCATTTCGGGGCTCGGCGCAGCTGCCCCTGACCCTTCCCGCTGTCTTCCCAGGAGGCCAAGAAGATGCTGGCGCTGGGCATCACGGGCCCCGAGGGCCACGCGCTGTGCCGGCCCGAGGTCGTGGAGGCGGAGGCCACCCTCCGGGCCATCACCCTGGCCAGCGTGGTCAGCTGCCCCCTCTACGTGGTGCACGTGATGAGCAGGTCTGCAGCCAAGGTCATCGCAGACGCCCGGAGAGAGGGTGAGCCGGGAGCCCTGGGGCGGCGCTGCAGCCCCTGTCTGTCTGTGCCCGGGGCAGAGGCAGCGGAGGGCCAGGTTTTTCCATCTCTCCCCTCCCCGGTGTTTCTTCTCCGCGCTGCCGCCTGCCTCTCTTCCTCCTGTGATTTCTCCCTGTCCCGAGGCCTTGTTCTGATCCTTTCTGCCTGGGCTCCAGCCTCGGCTCCCAGGCTTGCACACCTCCCGGGCTTCCAGGGAGGGCACGTTCAGAAAAACCTCTATTGAATTGGTTTGTCCAATAGCAGCTTTGGTGTTGGAGCAGTTGAAGCAATTATCCAAATAGTGTCTTACAGCAATTATTTTACACTGTGAAAGCGACACTTTTACCCCAAATTGTCTAATCTCTCCTTCAATCTAAAACGGAAGAGAAATCTCCCAACCTTGACACAGGTGGAACAGAGAGATAATTTCACTTATTTGCAAGTACCATCAAGAAAGGATGAAAAACAAACTCTGTGCGTTTTATTCAATGACCCCAGCCCTCCTGGGACGAGCTGGCAGTTCTGTCTTCTCACCTGTACAAATACAGACAGGCGCAGTCTTATAAGTCACCCTGGCTGCCCCCCTCCCCGAAACTGGCTGCATTTTAAGGATATGCATTATAAAAACTAGGAACCTGGTTTTGGTATGTCTGTGGCTGGTACTAAAATCTTGTCAAAATTGCTTTTCGTTGCCGAAGGTTCAGTAAGGATTCTGAGCCATTTGTACTTTTTAAACGTAATCCATCAATATCTACGTTAAGATTAAGCTTGACTTCACACGAGCACTAAGAGGATCTTGGTATCAACTCTTTCTAATCGCTTCCTACCCACGCAGCGCGGAATTAAACAGCTGTCCTTGAAAAAGAAAACGGGGCAATTTTCAAACTACAACACTACTCCTTCCCACAAGATGGCGCTGTTGCCAACTCTATGGAATTGGTGCGGCTGCCTTTGTATGCTGTGTAGTAATCGGCATTGTGTAGAAATGGACAGTCCTAACCCACCAGCAAGCTCTGGTTTTGACAGTTCTGTCCGGAAGCAGTTTCTTGATCTTGTGTATTTATTTAGCACTAAGAGAATGACATTAAAATCAGAGTAAAGTCCTGGGGAAGATTTTAGACTATAGATTATAGAAAACTATTGCACCATTAAGTATGGGCACTTTAATTTATTTTAAATAGTCTCTCTCTTTTACTTTTTTGCTGTACTGGGCATTGAATTTAGGACCTTGCGCTTGCAAGGTAGGGGCAGTGCCATTGAACTACATCCCCTGCCTGTAAATAGTCTCAAATTCAATTTTCTTTCTCAAATATGTAAAATACAGGGCTGAGGATGTAGCTCAGTGGTTCTGCCACTTGCTTTGTAAGTACAAGGACCTGAGTTTGATCCCCGGCTCCAAAAAAAAAAAAAGTAAAATATCTACATGATACAGAAGTAAAAATTATATGTAGTGATATTCAGGGAAGTCTTCCTTCTTTTCTTCTCATATTCCATAAGTAATCATTTTTATGAACTTATTTCTGACCTATATTTACAGTTTCTCTTTACAAAGTAATATATATATATATTATAATATATATATTATAAGTAATATTATATATATAATATATATATTCTGATTTCCTCTTATTTCCCATATAAAAACATAGCACATTAGACACAACAGCATGAGCCTGGCTTTTTTGCGCCCCCACTTTAAAATACATCCTGAAAATCAGCTCACATTAGGGAGAGAGATTATCCCCATTCTGTGCTGTTTTGTAGGGCACAGTAGCGAGCTTTGGTTGTTTCCAAGTGTTAACTGTTACAATGAAACCATAGTGACCCCCTTATGGGTACGTGATCTCATACTTGTGCCAGGTGTATGTTTCCTACTGCTGTTGTAATAAGTGGCCACAAACTTAATGGCTTAAAACAATGCAGCCTTATTATCTCACAGTTCTAGTATTGGAAATAAAGTATCAGGTATTGGAAATCAATATGCTGGACATCTCAGTCACTTTCTTGTCCCTGAGACAAAACACCGGACACCCCCATAAAGGAGGGAAGGTTTATGTCGCTCAGGGTTTCAGTCCACAGTCCCCTGGCTCCTAGGCAGAGAGAGGCAGCCAGCCAGGCCTGGTGGAGGAGATTTTCGCCACCTGGTGGCCAGAAAGCAGCACAGAGGGAAAAGCTGGGATAGAGAGAGACTCCCTCAGGGGTGACCGAGTCTCACCTCCTCACAGCCGCAAACCCAAGGGTGGACTAATCCCAGATGAGTGCAGCACCCTCAGCCAATCTCCTTCCAAACACAGGGGCCTTGGGGCTCATTTAGGATGTGAAACGTGTCATGGGGCCCGCATCAGGGGCTGCAGGGCTGCGGTTCCCTGGTTCCCTTCCAGAAGCCTCAGGGAGGAGTTCCTTTCCTTTTTCTTTTCAGCATCCAGACACCGCCACCCCCGGTCATGCCCCCTCTGTGACCTTCAGAGCCTTTCCCATTGCCTGCTCCACCTCCTGCTTTCTTCACTCTGAGCTGCCTGACTCCCATCCCAGGGTCCCGGCTCTCATCTGTGGGGCTCCTCTGCCATGTGACGAGGTCTCCTCGTGGTGTCTGTCCTGGCACGTGCGGGTGGCCGGGGCTCCAATGTCCACAGAGAGACACCTTCGGGGAGACTCCTGGAGCTGTGCCTGCTGCTCCAGAGCACGGGAGTCTGCAGCTTTTCAGAGACTGCTCCTCCTCCCCAGAGGGATCATAAAGACGGAATTTTTAGACTGTTGCCCCAAATGTCCTAGCTGAGTCAGACTTACTGCAATGGTACTTGTGAAACTACCTTTAATGCTCAGCCAAAGGTGGCTGAGCTCAGGATCAAATCAGGAGAGACCTCACCCCACCCGCAGGACCCCTTTGGCCAGGCTGTGGTCAGCCAGAGCCAGAGGGAAAGAGAGGTGGTGCAGGCACAAACTGGTACACGGCAGGGGATGCCTCCGCAGCCCCGGACAGACCCGGGCACCTGGGGGGACATGAGCTGTGGGGCCACACAGACCTCACGGAAGACCCCACCACTCTGTGGCACCGGGTTATTCTCCAGCATCGTTCTGAACACAGAAGAGCAGTGGAGCTCTAGTGACTGCGATTCTGTTTCCAAAAGACATCCGCCTTTCCCGTTCTGAGCCGGAAGTTCCCCTCCTCAGCCACCTGCTCCAGGAGGCACACCGGGCTTGGTGCTTCTATTGTAGCCGTGCAGAGTACAATGCTACTAAATTTTGTTTTATTATTCAATTGCCAACTCGATACCCAGCATGATTACAACAACTAACATCCTTGAGTGCTTACTGTGTGCCGGGCATCAACACTATTTTAATGTATTTTATCTCAGTGCAGGGTTTAGTCTGTATTAGCTCATCGATGTATTTTAGTATACATTGTCTTATAAAACCTGTAATAACAATGCTTCAAGCTCAATCCCTCTTTTATGACTGATAAAACTAGGAGATGAGTTATAAACCCCGGACGGATTTACCAGTAGGTGCCATGTATACAATTTAAGCCCAAATCCACGAGCCTCGAGAGCCAAACTTTTCAATTATTTCTCATCCTCTTCAAAGAGAAATTGGTCTAGAGTTGGGGAAATATGGACCCCAAGTTCATATTTAATGGGTTTAACTTTTTAAAAATTTAGCTGATGTTTGGTTTTGGACATTGCATTTTAAATATTTTACTGAGCATATGATTCGTCTTGTCAAGTTTATTGTTATTAAAATAACACCTGTCAGGAATGGAAATGATGAAGTATTTAATGGAACTAAATCCCTCTTTTACTCTCAGTTGGTTCACTCTGGATCTACGATTTGAACCACTCCTTTGGCGTTTGGTGTTCACCTCCAAAGTCTTACAGTGTACACAGGTGACAGCCACTTGTGGCTTCGGAAGCTGCCCCAACTCCCACGGAAAGTGAGTGCTTTAGTCACGTACCCCCGCCTTCACCTCCTGCGGTCTGCAAAAGGAGCGCTCTTCAGAGCACACACTGGCTCTGTGCCGCCTTCAGGCTGCCCTGCTGCCGCCCGCCCCGCTGCATCTCAAGCTGGGCCCCCCTCGGTGCCAGATGGCGGTGATGCTCTTCCCGATGTGTGAAGGCCGTGTGAGAGGAACCTTGCCCAGTGCAGTGCAGATCTGTGTTACTCCAATCCTCCTGTGCAGACCATGTCTGAGGTCCGGATCACACTGCTCAGAAGCCTCCGAGCCTGGTTCGTTTCAGTGCTGCAGAGTTAAACCATCATTGTCCTGTACATTCTTGGGTTTCCTGAATGTTTCCTGTTAGCTCTTGTTGAAATGGATTGAGAAAGAAACAAACCCCACTCCTACTGAGTATGCTCGGCCTTCTTTCAGAGATGGTTTCGGGGAGGACAGAAGGGAATGTGTGGGAGCCACCCTCCAAGCCTGGAGGGGCAGCCACCCCAGGATATCCTCTGTCCACCCTGCAGTATCCTCTGTCCACCCTGGATATCCTCCGTCCACCCTGTGGTATCCTCTGTCCACCCTGGATATCCTCCATCCACCCTGTGGTATCCTCGGTCCACCCTGCGGTATCCTCTGTCCACCCTGTGGTATCCTCTGTCCACCCCGAATATCCTCCATCCACCCTGCAGTATCCTCTGTCCACCCTGTGGTATCCTCTGTCCACCCCGGATATCCTCCATCCACCCTGTAGTATCCTGCGTCCACCCTGTGGTATCCTCCGTCCACCCTGCGGTATCCTCTGTCCGCCCCGGATATCCTCTATCCACCCTGCGGTATCCTCCGTCCACCCCGGATATCCTCCGTCCACCCTGTGGTATCCTCTGTCCACCCCAGATATCCTCTGTTCACCCTGCGGTATCCTCCATCCACCCCGGATATCCTCCGTCCACCCTGTGGTATCCTCTGTCCACCCCAGATATCCTCTGTTCACCCTGTGGTATCCTCCGTCCACCCTGTGGTATCCTCCGTCCACCCTGTGGTATCCTC